GATAACATCATTCCCATTGGAATCACAAAATCTTGAGCACTTTTTGCGACAAATTATGGATTGCTAGACGCTTATCATCGACAGGACTCAACTTTTCGAGTGCTTGAACCGTAGAGACCAAAGAACAGGTGATGTGAAGCTATGTTCGCAAATTTCTCCTCCTTTTGGAGACCCAACAATTAGCTCCGGAAGAACTGAGGTTGGGGTGCTAGGAGAAGGACAGAAGGAGGTGCTGCTGTCTGAATAAGAATCAACCATGGTTCTGCCAAATGTTTTCATGTTACTGAAATCTTTCTTTTCATCTTCCTCATCCATTATGTCGAATCTTTCTCTGGTCATCTTTATCAAACCATCAAGCATAGCCAACACATTTTCAACTGCAGCAACAAACCAATATCAATGTAAATTTCCCAATTAACTTCATTATTTATAATCTAATATATGTTTGAAAACTTACCAACTCGCTCAGACCTGTTTTTACCCACACTGCTGTACTTATATTTAGACTTACGAGTCCAATCAGGGTCCATAATCCAAGAATCTCCAATAGATTTTAAACTGTCATGGAAGTACACTAGCATCTGATTCAAAGTATTTTTTTCCAGATATTAGATCATGACAAAACTCTATTATTCAATGCCAAGTTTGACCAGGTCTTAATTTTCAATGTAAAATACTAAATTGTTTAACCTGATCCATGCCTGCAGCTCCTTTAACTTCTGATATCCAAGTACTTGGAATGATTTCTGGACAAAGTTTTTGGAGATCCTTCATCGTTTGCATCACCATCTGCTCAAAAAAAATGAAGTGAAACTTATCTCAAACTATGTTTCTTAATTCGAATATTGTTAGAGTACAAAATTAAGTAGAGGAGACAGATGGATAAATACATCGGTTATCGATGAAGATGCATCACAAGGAGGAATATCAATGATGTCCCTGAAAGTCTGAATCTTCTTCCTGAGCTCCACCATCAAGATGAAATTTCCCGTCCACTTCGGTGAAGGTTCCTTCTTCGCACTCCTCACATCCTTTGGATTCTTGGGTATCCTTGGCGATCCCGAAATTTTTGTAGTTTGTTGGTTTTTAGGTGACTTAGATACTGAATATTTATTAACAGATGGTCTATTCCTGATTAATATAGGAGAAGACGTGCCTTTAATAGTCTGCAAATGACACATGATCCTTCTGTCAATACTGCAAATCCATGGTATATACACCATACAACCAAGAGCTTGTTGCATACACCAGAACCATTGTATAAGATAGTTAGATCATGCAAGTCAATGAACTGGGTCATTTAGATTTTTGTTACAAATTATATGTCTAAATATTTTCTTTTCACAAAAATATGAGAAGAATTAGCCACTAAATTAACTATTACTTAGTTTTATGGAAGTATTTTCTTTATTTTATAAGAGATTATGTGTTCAAGTAAGACTATATTTTTTCCTATATTATCATTAGAAGATCGTGTAATAATTGGTATGTATATTTAATGGAAAAAAACTTAAATATCTATTCTTAAAATTCTGGAGATAAACATACATAGGAGAGGGAGAAATAAGGATATAGAAAAGATACCTGCATCTTGGATAGCTTGCGACCAAACAACAATGGTGCCAAGCCACAACAGCTCCCAACGTTCATATCGAGTCAAAAGTTCCGAGTTTTATAACTACAATGCAACAACCGCAAAGCTGATGCTGATGAAGTTTCCTCATCAACATAAATTATTGTATTCACAAAGAAAGAAAATTGTTTCAAAAATAATTTTTTAAGGTTACAACAAGAGACTTGTTCGACCCTTTATTCATTTTTTTTTTTTTTTTGAATTTTCAGCAAAAGAACAATTCAAGAAGCGCAGGAATTTGCATTAACAAGAACTGATTGTATCAAAAAAGAGATAACCAATACTTCTGTACATGATATGGAACTGTCTCTTGAAAGAGAGAGCCAAGAGGAGAGAATTGAGATTCTGGGTTTTTAAGGGAAACCCTCAATCTTGAAAGTTAATTACTTTTGCTAATTTATTTTATTTCATTTTTGGGAAATTTTCTTGGTTGATTTTTTCTAAATGGATAAACAATTAACCCCTTAATCACAGGGATTACATACTGGCTGCCATGATAACCAGCTCATAATCATTATTATAATAGCTTCTTAATTATGGAAGATGAGGTGGTATTTTGATTTCCATTTCTCATTTTAACAAAAACAAACCCTTGAATTGCTCTGGGATTGTTCCTAAATTTGTCTTCAGTTATCCTATTTAATATAACTGTAGTCATCTCCTATATATTAAGCTTTCAGTTGCAGGTTTTACTTTTATCTAATTAATCTGATCTTAAAAATAAAAACAGATTCTATATTTTTCTCTTCTTAATTCTTTTCTTTATATCTTGGAAACTTTTTTTCAAGATTTTCCAAGTTAAGACATTGACTATTCTATATATATATAATGGGTAAGTACTCCAGCTTATTGTGGAGGGCTTGTCATTAAAATGGGAGTGGAAGATCATATTAATTAGAAGAAGGAAGAAATTGAGTTTGGCCAACTCATCTAAATGTTTCAACAAATTGGAAATATTCAACCCTACATGAATGTATAGGGTATATATACTAACTCTAATATATTATTAGTAAGTTGTTCAACTAATAATAATTTATCATTATGATATATGATCTTGATGAAAATATTAAAAATTTAAAAAATTTACCATATTTAAAATAGATGGTCGTCGAGTTCTATATAGAAATTGAGCTTGGTTTTCTAAAAACCGATTTGTTCGGGTTCAGAAGTTATTGGTCCAATGATTTTCAGCCAGAGACATTACATTGCTTGTATTCTCAAAAATAAAACGTCACGGAAAATGTAACTGTTGTTGGGATCTGAAGAGTTTAATAAATTCAATAATTAATAAAGAATCCATGTCAAACTGAAATGACGACTATATATCAAGAACACTATCAAAAACAATGAACCAAAATGCACGCAAATATCAGGAAAGAAAAAAAATCATTCAGTATGTTGAGGCTAAATTCGAGGCTTGAGCAGCTAAAAATTCATTATGAGAAAACCAGCATATAAATCTTGCAAAATGGAGAAGGCGTTTCGTTCTGGCAAAAAATTTTCTTATTAGAGCTATTGCTAGAGTAAATTTCTTCTCTATCATCATGTAGCTTGTTGATGGTGGTTTGCAATTTTCAAATTTCACCTGACCACCACATAAATCTTGAGCTCTGGTGCAATGCATCCATAAAGCCATTCAGCTTCAGGCTTCTTTCCTAAGGTGCCTTGACTCTAGCAGAACTTATCCTGCTGATCTCTCGAGAACTTGAATTAGCTTTATTCTTGCTACAGTTAATGGTGCCTTTCACCGTTTTGCTTTCTACTGGAACTTTCTTGGATGTTGCTGCAGTCCTCTCTGCAATTCTTTTCTGGCGCTGGATTGCTAATTCTTCCATTTTCTTCCTAATTTCTTCTTCCTGGTTATAAGTATCTTCAACTGTTAGTGGGAGACAAAAGTACCAGGGATCATGAAATAGCAACCTATATGATCATATTTTAAATTCATCATTACCTTTTCTAACTTGCTTTTCTGAACTATGGTTCTACTCACAAGAGGCTTCCTGCTTTTAAATATTGTCTCGGATTTGGTTTTTACAGTGGATCCATTTGAAACTTTTGGGTTTGTTCCTCTACCTGGATCCCTTTTCATTGGATCCTCATTGTTCTTGAGAATGGTGCTTTGGTCGTTTGAAGTAACCTTCTCATCTCCAATGTTGCTCTCGACACCTGTGCTCCTGCTATTAGTTTCCACAAGAGATATGTCAATCCCATAATCCATTGACCATGAATCTTTACTAGTTTGAAATCCGGGATCCCGTTCAAGAATCATGAAGAGGTCATTTGGTTCAGAGGAATTAGTAACTGCAAACTTATCCTTTGGAATATATGAAGTGTCATTTTCCAGGTGGGAAGCTAAAGTAAGATCTGCAACCATGCTTATGTCAGGCTTCCTTTGAGACGCATATAGATCATCTGGTCGAGCCTGTATCATAAAAGAATCATCAACAAGTATGTCTTTCCTATTCTTCTCTGTGCTAGAGCATTTACCCTCTGATGACAAAATGTAATCTGCATCTAAGGTTGTGTGCTCCTTGGTTGCATTATGGTTTTCTGGTTCTCCAGTCTGATTCGTAAGAAACCAGTCTTCTTCTCTCCCAACTTTGATTAAGGATGCCTCAGCTCCAGAAGAAGAGAGAATACTTCCAGTACCTGATTCAGGTACTCTCTTAAGAAATAGTAAATTTTCATCGGTATCATCCCTTCTCTTCACAACCGAATGGAAATTCTTTTCATTTTCAAAATCATCAAAAGGAGTGATTGCTTCATTTTCTCCATCTGTTCTGGTCGCAAGAAAGGAATCAGCAGAAACTCTCTCCCGTCTTAGAAAATTTTCTGATTCCGGGCTCACAATTGGGCTTGTGGCAAACGTTCCCCCTTCAGGGCTTCGGTCCGAAAAAAGGTCAGCCTGAACATCCATGTGGTTTCGTCTTTCGTCTCCATTACATGGTTCCTCATCATCTCGCATCAGAAGGTTCTGAAAAGCATCCCAGTTTCCATTATTTTTTCCCTCCTTAGATGCATTTACAAGGTAATCATCAGCAGCATCTGATCCATTTGTAAGATTGTTGGACTTCTTTCCCTTAGAACTTAATTTTAGCTTATGGGACTCGTGGGACTTCCTTAATGATTCACTGCATCTTCCACCTCTTGTTTGA